AATCCATTCACGCCACGCAAACAAGATAAATTAAATCGGTCGATACGGACTCGATCGATCGCCTCACCTCTCCTCTCCACTCTTCGCTTCCCCTGGGAACGCGACTCGTGGAAAATCTTCGTGTGGCATCTGGGAAGCAGAGCCACGGTGATTTACGACGCATTATCCACGGCCCGATAGGGGATCGCGTAACGATGGCTACGGCAAAATTAATCGCGAGCGGTAATTATTTTCGTTCGGTACGATTTCTCGGAACCGGCCGGCTGTGATGGGAGAAACGTCCTGTTGCTCGTCGCGGTACGTAGTATTCCTCAACCAGGGAATTCTCCACGTGTGTGTGTGTGTGTGTGTGTGATTATGTTTGCATCGCTAATGATTTAAAACTGTCGAAGACGAACGGTGAAATTTCGAGCGATTGCCTTCTCTCCAATGCGTTTTTCGATTCGTTAGCGGTGGCCGCCAGATGTCGCGAGTGAGTTATGGACGAGGCCTCGAGTTACGAACTACTTAGGCTCGAACTGTTTTTAGATATTCAATACTGTTTGATGGATTTGGAAGAACCAATTGGAGGTTGATCTAACATTTAGAATTTTTAGAGTTTTTGTTCTTGCTAATAATAAAATATGTAAATGATTTTATTGATATAGCAATCTAATTGGATTGGATATTTCTTGATAATTCTTGATAATATTTGATATTACGAAGAGAGAGCTACGGAATATTCAAGATAAAAATAAGGTAAAATGTGATTCGTAAGTTGTTACTCGAGCATTTTCAAATCATTATTAGTAGATATTGTGTCAAATTTCCACGAATTAAATAGCAAAAGACACGACATCGATTAAACTTCGCCGATTAAGACGTCCAACAGGTAAGTGAACACAATGTTCCCCGAGCAAACGGTGGAGTAATCGTATCGGTGATATTCAAATTAGAGCGATACCGGCACACACAGTGTATGTGCGTGATTAAAAATAAACGCGTGAGTCGGCGTAATTTCACGGTTGCGCGATTTAGTTAAGTCGCTCGCGTGAGCCATTGCTTTTACGATTGTGTATTGGACTTCGATGGAGTCGCTTTATAAAGGGATAAGCAAAAGCTTGTGCAAGCGGTGAACGAGTTTCTCGATCCACGAGGAAAGAATGCGAAAAAGAAAGGAAGAAATTGAAGATTCATTTTCACGAATGTTATTCGTTCCCCCCTTGACGTCATAATTGTATTTGATCGTATAAAAACGAGAATAGTATGTTCAATATATTTCAAATGATTCACAGGAGTTTTAAGAAATATTTTTTATTCTTTGTGTGAGAATATTTTTTCATGTTTTTATATGCAGAAAAAAATCCTCTACTACAAAATTAATATTAGACAAACTTTCTTGAAATTGTACCTGCAAAACAGTATTATTTATGGGACGATTTAATACATTTATTCTAATACTTCAATATTTTTTATCAATAGAAAGTATTTTAATTAAAAAAAATTAATATCAAGTTTAAAATGGCCAAACAAAATTAAAAAGTTCAGTTTCAAAAGTTCATCGATAACATTTGCTCACAAACGTCGATGAACTTGACTGAAGGTTTCACTTTCCTCCTGTTTCCAAGAATTATCGAGAAGAGCGATGCATGAATAATTCATGCATGCATAGTTCCAAAGAATGATTTACTTAATGACTCTTCTTCTCCCCGACTATCGTATCCTCTGTCTACAGTTATTGTCCCCACGATTGGCACGAACCTTGAACCTTTGCTCTAACCCAACAAGGCATCAGACTCTTTCCAAGACATCGTAAAATTTTTTATTTCAATTCGCGTAAGCTTTTATAAATATATATTCGTATCGAAAATAATATATATTCGATACACGAAGCGTAATATATCGTTGGTGAGATTGAAAAAAATTCTACAGTTAAGATATCTCCGTTTTCATCTTCGCGGTCAATAACCGTTCGCCATTTTTGCCTCAAAAAAATTTCTATTCTCCTACTACTACTTTCTAAAAGAAGTGTTTTTATTTCCGCCAAATTGCCTCTGGGCTGAAAATCACGAAAATAAATTTCATAACGGTGAAACTAATATAGTGAGAATAATTAATATTAACAGATAATTAATTCTTAAAAATTTATTTTATAATTTTTCAAAATCTAATCGAATAATCCTTAAAACAAATACTATAGAACTATGTATCAATAAATTTTTCCAAATTTTTATTATATAATCTTAACATCTTGATTTTAAATTTCAACGAGAATTATGATAATTACTTAAAAAAGAAAAAAAAATGAAAACTTGCAAAAGAAATAATTTATTATATCTAATCTAAAAGAAGAAATAAAGTGAAAATTTCTAAATCTACCATAAATTGCGTAATCCGCGAAATTATCAAGCACATAATCGTATCGAGATCGCTGAACTAAATATTAAAAAATCAGTCCGCGATCGTACAACGAGTATCTTAAGTAAAATTGACGATAAATTAGCCGTGAATCTAAGTGGCCGTTCGGGATCCTGTAGCAATCACGACAAAACCATCGTAAGACGTTTCTTCTTTTCCCAGATTTCCCCACCTTCTGTTCAGAAACGAGGGAAGATTTATGCTACCCAAGAATTCCAACTTTTTCATCAAAAAACCCACACGAGGAAATCGAGAAAGGAAGGAGCAAATCTTGACAAGCTGAAACGTCTCAGGATTTTCTTACGTGCCTTCTTCCACGCGAATTCGCGATCGATCCATGTTCTATTTTCTCTTTTCAGTTTTACAACCGGTTAATTGCACGGATGAAAATAGCAATAGTGTTTCTTCTTCTTCTTCTACTTTACTTCTATTATTTATATAAACGAGACGAGAAACGCCATCTCTCTCCTCGCTTATGAAACGCACACGTATGTTTATTTACATACGATTATTTATAGATTAGAGAGATTTGAGGCTTTCACCGTCGAATATGATAAAGTTATTTATACGAACGTTTACATTTTCCAAATTGAAAATATAAATATACAAACACACCTGTACAGAAACGAAACTATAATACAAATAATAAAATCTATTTCGATCTTTATTAAATATCACAGCGTGCACTTTATTATTTTGTGCGTATTCCCGCACATGGTTAAATTTATAAATAAAGAGGAAGACTCGCACGATAAAAATTTCTCGAACTAGGATATTAAAAAAGACAAGAAATTCTTGTTTACTATTAATAAATTATCGAGCTTGTGTTTAAAATTAAACAAGTATCCAGTGATTTACAGACCGGACAGGTATTCGTGCAACGCGTAATAATCGTTGCAACTTCATCGCAACGAATTTAAAAGACGCAAAAACTGTTACGCGATGTCGTAACAGATGACGAGACACGATAGATTCGATTCGCTCAAATCGAATACTAGTCACTCGCAAAACGATTCGGCATTCTTGCTAAAAAAAAACATCTGCAAAACGTTATATCGTGGAAATTAACGCGGATTAAACTCGCGCGAGAAATTTTGCTCGGAGCTGGAATTATGGGCATTTAATTTATGAATATTATTTACGACGTCCCACGTCAACCATGTCGCGGACGAACGGCGACAGCACGAAAGCGTTAAAACCTGTAGAATGTAGGAAATTTCGTTCATAAAGATATCCCCCTGTCCGTGAAATCATTGCCGGCTTTCTTCTCCACGGGCTCGTGCCTGGACATCGTCGCATTAAAATGTTAGATGTCCGCGTTAATTACACGGTGAAGCGTCTCAGTATTAACACAGTGACGTGTATCAAGACGTTTCAGGAAGCGGAAATTCGTCGCGGTTACATAATTATCGAGCATACGGCGGGATTATTTACCACCCTTGGAGAGAAACCGAGGAAGAAGCATGAAGATTCTAATTAACGAGTTATTGATGTCTTTGGGCGGAAGGAATGATCGACCGAGAAATTCTGTGGACGCGTGGATCAATTTTGCAAGAAACGAGCTTCTTCTTCTTCTTCTTCGAGATAGAATCGTAACAAGAACTTTTTTTTTACACCAACTATGCGTTTATGTGTTTATTACAGTAAAGTATTAATTGTTTTCGAACTAGACGAGATTGTCGTTTATTTTACTGGAATTTTATAAATTTTAGATGAATAGTATACTTTGATTTTTAAAGAAAATGTTTTTCAGAATTTTTGTAAATATTAAGCTTCCTAAACTTTTATTTTTTAATGATTACATAGTAAGTTTTAAATTAGTTACGTAAGCGAAACCAAGCACAAATCTGAAGGAAGACATCAATCAAACTAAAGAAACTACAAACTTATTGAACAGTAATAAATCATTTTGCATAGTACAAGTATCTGAGACATAAAATTACAAATTTTACATCATGTTTTATTACCAGCTTGTTTGTTTGTGTACGTGTTGTAATTAATTTGTTTATATACGTTGTTAAATTTTAATGAAATCAGTGTATACTCGTAGAAATTAATAAAACAGAATACAAGAATCAAACAAGACATCTTTCTTCTTTTTTATTATAACAATCCTCAAACATCAAACGTAATTTATCAAAACTGAAACCCTTATTCAAAATTCTATCTAAGAAAGGAACATTCACCATTAAAGACAAGAAATAATTCATTTTGTCGTAAGAATCAATCGTTTGTTCTCCCAAACGAAAAAGAAGCAAAAGACTAAATCGCAATGAAACAACCGGTCCTACAAGAAAAAGAAATATGGAGAACGACCTTCAATTTGATACGACAGCGACTCACACGAGTTGATCCCAGGCTGATTAGACCGTTCTCGATGCACCTACTCATTAATGCACGTAGCGAAGAAGAGAAGTCAAGCACAGTCGAGTCGCGTTACTTTAATAGACGTAGCAAAACTAATGGATGACAGGAATAAGAAAGTCCGGCTAGCTTCGTGGTGCCTCGTTCCGAGGCCAGCCGCAAAAACATGCTGCTTATCGCCGCCTTCATCTTGTATTCTGTTTTTACAGAGAATAATTATAACAAACCAGCGGTAATACTCACAGTCTATGGACCTCTTTCTTTCTTTCTTTCGCTCCTCATCTGTCTGGTGTCACGAATCCCGGTCGCACGAAAAACGGCAATTCCGACGAATATATGGGCATAGGTTAACCTAGAAATGAAAAGCGCAATCAGTATTTTCAAAAGTGTTATCCTCGTGGCATCTTACATTATCTGTTATAAACATCATAACTGATAACTTATTATGATTCCCTGCATTGTTCGGTTAATTAAGATCTGTCTCTCTGACAAAAATACGTAACATATGCACTTTTTAGCATGACATTTTGTTGGCGCGCATGTGCGTCAGTAAGCGAGCATGCGCAATTAACACCGGTTCTACACGCTCCTTGTATTTACCGAATTATTACTTTGTAACGCGCGTGCTCAACGCTTAAGATCGAAGATTTCGCGGTTTCTTCTTTTCTTTTTGCACTTGTCCAACGACGATGATGAATGACTGCGTAAAGAGGACCGCATGCTTGAGAACTATTTGCTTTTTGTAACACGGATACCTGGATGCGGTTATGAACGACATGTGTAATTATTGAAATTTCACGATGGAAAGCAATACTTGCTTGTTGGAATCGATGATTTTAAATGAAATTTAAATGTTTTAATGTTTGAGAAAAATTGTATGTAAAATTGTAACTTTGTAATGTAATATTTTGATTTTAAAAAACATACTGATAATCCTATAATCCATATTACGTGTATTTTTATTTGTAACCGCCTCTATCATATAGATGCAAAAAAATGCAACAAATGAGATTTTTTAAATTTTACAGGTATCGACCGGTTATTGATTTAAAATGCTTTCTTTCATTTAATATTAAGTAAAAATAAAAAATGATATATATTAAAGTATCGTAATAATTTTAAATCTAAAAATCTTGCAAATATAGTGTGAAACATGTTGACAATTTTCACATTATAAGTTAATTTATAAGCAAAAAATATTTTTCAATTCAAAACATGTAAATTCAATCCTTAATAAACATCGTAAAAATTTCTCTAACTCGTATACATATATATTTACATTATACATATATATTTACATTAAAATCATCACTTTGCATTTTACGATATTGCAATTGCAGATATTAAAAGCGTTTGTCATGCTGTCAGCACAAAAATGGTGAAAATAATTGGCTTACAGAGATACGTATATCGAAAGTACCAATTTCTTTCGAATACTTTGCTCGAATGTGACCTAGAACTGCAAGGTTAACAATATATTCGAATTTCTTTCCAGATGTCAGTCTTATCGATTTCATGGTATTTTCCTTTGCTTCTCTTTTGCTTATTCTCATTAACTGATCGTTACTACCAATTTCCATTGCAATTCCACTTTACCGCAATGGCGTAACCATTCTTTTTTTTTTTTTTTATTTCTTCTTCAATGATATTTCTATATCATGCCTAAGTCATTCTATTTTTTAATTTTAACATGATAAAAAATAATTTGTATAGAAATTATACACAAGAATCATAGAAAAATAATTACCATAAAAGCTTAATAGGAAAAAAAGCACGAATATTTGAGATATTTAAATTTGTACGAAATAAGAAAAAAAAATGATCTAGTGTGAAACACTATATGTATATATTCTTTCAACACGACATCACTAATAATCTCATAGTTGATGGAACATTAATTATTAAATAAAAAAAAAAAAGAAGATAAAAAAGGAACGCTGGACAAACGAGGAAAAATATTAAACGCGATATTTCCCAGAAAGAGAAATTTACGATCGATTAAAATTGCTGTTCGAATTCCACCGTTCGATATCGTTCAAATGTTTTGCAAAAATTCGATGGAATTTTCGCTTCAAATTTACTCGAGAATCCAAGCTTCTTGCTTATGTATTTGAAAGATATCCGCAATTAGATAAGGAGACCCAATTTTCACGAGAAAAATTATTAAAAATCTTTCCTTGTTTCCGTTTTCTCCTCTTCTCGATAGTCCTTGATAGCAATTCTCTATACTATGGTTGCCATAATAATAACGCAACAAGAAATGCCGAACACACAGGCAATTTGACAGAAATGAAACCGGAACCGGATTGAAGAACATTCCTCCCTCCTCGTAAAATACACGCGCGCATTCCAAAACCATCCTCTATCTTAATGAATTCATTTTTTTTTTTCTTTTCGTTGCTCGTTAAATGGAAATGCTTCGAAGAAATTAATTAAAGTAGAGGGATGAGTTGCATCGATGTCCGGCAAAATTTAATAGCCATCGTGTTTTGCCCTGAATGGAAAGTGACAGTGTATCAGAAGACTGTGAAAATAACAATCCTTTTAATCTCCTTTGAATTTTAGTTTAGAAGTTTTTGTGCTTGCAAGAAGGAATTTAATAGGATTTCTTTCTTTTCTTTTTTTTAATGTTGCAAACTTTGATATTTCTAATTTTAGATACTGTTAAATTTATTATCAAAATTACGTAACGTGAGTGATGAAAAAAAGATGTAAAAATAGAAACTTATCGATATCGTCTCATTATTGATTAAAATTTTTAATTTCTATTTCTAAAAAATCAGGCCAGATTTTTATTAATTTTTATTAGTTGAATCTATTTATCAGCATTGTATCATGCTGCTAATATCTAAAAGCTCATCCTCGAGATCAGAAATTTTAAACGAAAAATGCAACGTTCGAATAAGAAAAGGTTATCGCTGCCCGAGCAAAATAAATTGGATAACATTACGCGGTATGTAATATAGCTTTCGTAGCTCGATTAAACACAGGCCGAGAAAAACACGATCCGCGATCAGAACACCGTAAAAGCCGGCATTTTTCATTCGAACTGACAATTCTGTAAAATGCTAGAGAATTTATCGCCATGATTATTTATGATCTCATACGAGGTGTCGCCTGTTATCGCCGCATTATGAATTCAAACACCGTGCGAGCCGGCGAACATAGAGAACGAGACATATCCGCTCTTAATTATTTAAAGATTTTCCATTGTCACTGCGACCGATGGCGAAACAGTGCAGAGGATTACGTAATCGCAAATCACGATTGATTAGCCGCCTGTTAATAATTCCACGACGCTTTTAAAACGAAATGAATTACCGCGTTGCTGTGCAATATGTCATATTCTACTACTTGCATCACGGTTCTGTGCTGTTACCGGCAAAAAATTAATGAGAAACTAATACGCGGTATATTGCAACATAATCGCGGTTTCATTATATTTTCTTGGATATATTATGTCTGAAAAAATTTTAAAACTGATGAAAATTGTCGCAAAATTGCATCTGATTTTAAAAATATATACAAACCGGAATGGTATTATATTTTTAAAATAGTGGAGATAAGAAAATGCACGAACATACTTTCCACTTAAGAATAATAAAATACGTATCATATGAATTTAATATTAAGATTTTTATAACAAGAAATTAATTTATGTACAAAAAATTTCATTTTGCAACGATATCAATAAGAATAATACAAGAATTTAAGAGACCATTTAATTTTGAACTATGAAATGTATTTTAATCTTTAATTATTTTAAAAATATAATAATATAATTTTTATAATTATATGAAACATCTTGTATAATTATTCAATTAATGCAGATGATTATTCTAATTGATATTTTAAGATAAAACTTATACAAAATTCTTAAATAGATATATTATTATAGATATCATTTTATTTAATTTATTATTGCAGAGATTAATTAAAATATATTTGCAAAAAATATTGTACTCACTTAAATATAAAATTTACCGTGCAATGTTGAGAATGATTCATCAAAATGTACTTTTTTGTAAATTACACGAAGAGTAACAATCGTTGTAACAAAAACGACACATCTCTGTTTCTTTCCCGGTAAGTCCATTACGAAACCAATAAGTATGAAGTGCTTATGAGTCATTCTGATTTCGATTATAAGGCACCAACCTATATTACTTATCAATCATTTTTTCGTATAATAATCTTCGCAGCACAAAAAGTCGTAAAAAAAAAAAAAAAAAAGAATTGCACTACAATAAACTGCTTTTAAAACGTGTCCAAATTTTATGTATACACACTTCAAAACCCATTTTGCTTATCATTTTTTGTTCGCAATAATAATGGGACGAGAAGTAGAACGAAAAAGAAAAGAAAGAAATAGAAATTAATAAAAATAAAGGAAAAATATCGTGCAATTGGAACAAATGTAAACAATAATGAAATAAAGATACGCAGTAAGAAAGAAAAAGTACATTAATTCGCAAGGAAAACCGATTTTGATCGCGATTTTTTTAACGAAAAAAAAATCGCGCGTGGATACCCCTCCGATGTTTCAGAAAAAATACAATATGCGCATGCGCAGATTGTGAGGAGCGCGAAGGCACGGCGCACGCGCACCATCCGCTTTGGACGATTACATTAGTTCAAGAGATGGCTATCGTTCTGTACGCACGATTAAATTGATTTATGGATAAACGTTAACGGCGGCGTTTATTTGTAGTTCGTAGGTTGGCCGGTCTGCCACAGGAGAGTGGGTGAGCCCGCCATAGGAATTCGATTTTATCTACTGACAGATACGAGATCGACCATTGCATGACGTGCTTTTTTTCCATTTACGATCGCCCGTTTCTTTCTCGATCGTACGTGCTCACGGAATCGAACATAAAAAGAGAAAAGAAACCGGCTGAACGTGTGAAACAGAGACAAAAGGCCTCGGAGAAAGAAAAGGTAGGTTAATAGAGATGGAATTTCAGTTAGAAACTAAGCACGGAGGGGAGTAAGAGAGAGAAATATATATAAACGGAATATAAGGGAGAGATACGAAGAATTCGCGCAATTTGCATTATAGCAACGAGCATGAGAAGTCACAGGCCATTATCCACTGACACAAAGTCTACGTGGAACTGTCCCTACGACGATATCTCGTTGACTGGCAGAGATTATGGCCGTAATAACAATAATGGTAATAAATGAGAACGAAACGAGAGCGAAACGCTCTTGCGATGGGCGTGTGCGTCATGTACTACATGGAAAGGCGGGTTTTGATCGGAACAGTAGACAGCGGACTTAATTGAGAAGCGAATGAAAAAAATCCGGAATAATCTGTTGCGTAATACTTGGGTCACCAATCTATCAATCTGG